GCTCACCATATATTATTTTTGATATTTATAAATGAGGCTGCTTTGTGACCTCTCCCCAAAAATGTGATACTTTCCTAAATAAAGTGTCTTATTTTTTCATTGCCTGAAAAAGTGGACTCAAAGCACTGAAACCCTGAATTATTCATTTAGTTATTTTATCTTTTATTATAAGTTATAATAAATTATTAATTAATTAATTAATTAAAACAATAAATAGTAGATACTTATTGTTGTTATCATTATATATTATTATTTTATCATTGTAGCGCTACCCCGAAGGAGCGTCTGGATTTCTGGCCTTATTACCCCACACACCACCCACAGCCAGGCAACAGAAATTTTCCACACTCTCCAATGGCTCAATAAACATTCTAGGGGGTTTAGTTTTTAAGGTTTATTGTAGAATGATGAACATGAATGGGGATTGGGGGTACATGGGATGCCCAGAATTGAAGACACTTCACACTTGCTAAAGTCTTATGCTTTTGTTAACTGACTCCAAACTGAGCCGCACACTGGTGGGAGTGATGGTGCAGATGAAATGACAAACAAAAGTTCCAAAATGTAAGGTTGCAGATGCAGCACCTGGCTATATTGCATGGCAACTGGCTGTTCTTGACCCAAGCTAGAGATGTCAGGCTGCTCCTGGCTGTCTTGCACTGCACTAAAGCTGTCCCCTTGGTCCCAGACACACATTGCACTACACTGTCCTCTCTGTTGCTTTGGGTTTGATGACTGGTGTGTACTCACTCAGTCCCTTTAAGTAGCTCTTTGAATCCAGAAAGCTGCTGCACTGGTCTCTCTGCTGCTCAAGCTACTTCCAGCATGTCACAAAAATAGAGCAGAAACAGGCCACCTAGAATGACACGAATGACTGGTGTCATAATCATATCTCCGACTCACTTAGTATGTAAGTGTGGATCCATAAACCCAGAAAATGCATACTAAACAATATGGTAGTGTGACAAGAGCACCCCTACCTGAAAAAAGAAGGTTACTGAATGATCCACGCGGAGTAATATGGATTCAAAAATTACAGGCAATACTTTATTTGATCACATATATCATAAGGAGGTTAAACATGAGCACGGTGAACATGTCAAACAAATAAAATCATTTTAAAAGCACTTAGCGTCTTCATTTCAGGGTCATTTAGGCAAGTAGAGCACCATAAAAGGCAATACAGGGTAATGGTGAGGTTTTGGTCCTAGGTTTCCATGAATTTCCAGCTTGTATTAGAGTGAACCATATATTCAGCAGAAATGTTCCCAATATAAGTCAGGATGTGTAGGGTAGCCTCCTGGTATATGGAAGCTGGAACACAAAAAATACACAATAAATGTATAAGAATATAGGAGCTGAATCACGTCCAAGCCTCACCAAGCCTCCCTCTACAGTAATTAGTGGACACTTTCATTACCTTCTCAGTTGTGAGACTGTCATACCCGCTTCTCAAGTGTAGGGACTTCCTGGGTAGCCACCCCAAGTGAAACAAAGTCCACAGTACCAAATGATTCTGGGGATATATATAAGAGTTATTGTATAGAACACAGGCATCAAGTAAAGCCCTGAAAGCAAAAAACAGAGTATGGGTATATTACCATCAATAGAGATCAAGAGGACTCCCGTCGACTTGAAATAAGATCAGGTCCTTGATGCTTGTTCAAAGGTGCATATGGGGGTGGGAAGCCAGGTAGTCACAGTATGTAGATTCCAAACACATATATTGTGTATGTAGCAGGCCGTAAATACCTGAGTCCATTTACCCACTGAAGGGTTTCCAAAAATTACTCAATCTAAGAAAATTGAAGCGGTTTGAATAGAATATGGCTTTGTCACAGCATACAATGCCTAAATAGGATAGCGTATAAGTATATATATATATATATTTTATCCTCTAAAAAGGATTTCCAAACGATTCCCGAATATACAGGGTAGATTAGGCTCGTGTAACATGCCCTCTTAGCTCCAGATATGCTCTATAAATCTACACAGCTGTAAGCTTAAATAACTTGCCACCGGTGGAAGGTATATTCCCCTAGGGGATTGCCGTTTGCGAACCGCTGTAGTAGTAGACTTAATGGTAGTTTTCAGAGGGCCTCGTGCCTTCCTAGCAAGGAGCTGTGACACCGCCGTTCCTTCCCACCTAGTGGGCACCGCACCCTATGAAGACGCCGAGCGTAGTGACGTCATTACGTTGACGCGTTTCGTCCGCCGATCACCGCAGACTTCGTCAGAACTGGGAGGGGACTTCAATCCTTTGCCTTATATGGTGCACTAATTGCATACCAAAAAGTCTCCACCTCGCCATCTTGTGTTGAAAGAGTATCACTACATTCGAAAGATCCAAAGTGAATTAAAACACATATATTGAATTTAAATTGGCTGCTGGCAATAAAAAGGGGAACCATATTACTGTAAATCAGATCATCTTTATAGAGGATAATGGAAAGGAATTATTATTATAATTCAAAAAGGGAGACATAAAGACAAGATTAAATTTTCCTAATTTTAGTATTGATCTAGTTATTATAAGAATTCAATATATAGTGGGAATAGGAAGAATCACATAGTTAGATTCATACTTTATCCGAATAGATCGATATTTCACTCCCATATATAATACCCCAGTTCAGATTATAGCTCAGGGTATGTTAAAGGTTCCAAGAAATTCAATTCAAAAAAACTCCAAAGTTGAGTTCTGTGTTCAGTCCGTATGGGACAAGTGCACCCAGGGTATAGATCCAGAATTTTTCTTTTTGTAGGAGGACTTTATCAAAGTCCCCCCGACGAGCTGAAATATTAAGCAAGAAAATCCCTTTCACTCTTAAGCCTTCTGTTTTACCCCCGTGTACTTCTTTAAAGTGTTGTGCCAGTGGGTTCTCTTTTTCTCCCTTTCTTACGTTCCTATTTTCATTTCTAATATCTCTCAAGTGTTCACCGATCCTAGTCCTGAGATTCCTTTTAGTTTTTCCTATATACATCTTCTTGCATGGACATTCTATCATATATATTATTCTACTGCTGGAGCAGTTAATAAAACTTCGTATCTGGAATGCCTTAGATTTATCATTGTTAAAGAACTGGTTAGACTTATGTACTAATGGACAGATTTGACAATGGCACATGGGAACATACCACATAGGCCTGTCCTCCTAGTTAACCAGTTTCTTTGTGGTGCCCTCTGAAACTCTGATTGTACTAGTATGTCATTTAGATTCCGAGCTCTTTTTGCTACCATTTGGGGGCTCTCCCCTACCACTCTTGCTATCTGCGGATTTTGAGTTAGTAAATACCAATGAGAGTCCAGGGCCTTCTTGACTTCACCCCATTGTTGTCCAAATTTAGTTATGAATCTTACCGGTTGATTTACCGAGTTCGCCCCTGGCTTTGATTTTGGTTTATTTATAAGCTCCTCTCTTGTTCTACCAAGAGCTCTTCTTTTTGCTCTTCTTAGGGTTCTATGTGAGTAACCTCTTTCTCTAAACCTCTTATAGAGCTGAATAGATTCATTACTATATTCAGCTTCTTCTGTACAGTTCCTTTTATTCTCTGAAACTGGCCAATGGGTATTCCCTGTTTTAAACTCCTTGGATGATAGCTATTAGCATGTAAAAGTGTATTGGCCGCTGTTTCCTTTCTAAACGTTTTAGTGACTAGTTTATTTTCATAAATTGAGATTGATAAATCCAAAAATGTTATTACCTCTCTATCTGCTGTATAAGTAAGTTTGATATTCCTATCATTCTCATTTAGGAATTCCATAAATTTTTTTAACTCATCTATACCTCCATCCCAAACCATCAGGACATCATCAATATATCGCAACCATTTTATTGCATGTTGCTTATAGGGAGTGGAGGGATAGACCAACTCCTCTTCCCATAAGCCTAGATGTAAGCATGCAAATGCCGGGGCCCAGGGTGCTCCCATGGAGGTACCACATATTTGCTGGTAGAAGGAACCCAGAAACTGAAAACAGTTATGGGTCAACATAAAATCCAGCAAGTCCAATATAAATTCATTTTGAGCCTCCATTTCAGGGAAATATGTCTCCAAAAAGTAGGCCACAGCTCTCCGTCCCCAGACGTGTGGAATAGAGGTATATAATGATTCCACATCAATACCCACCAGAAGTGCACCCTTAGGTACTTTTACATTTAGAATCTTTTTCAGTACATCTCCCGTATCCCTTACATAAGATCTAAGTTCCAGGACCAGATCCTTAATTAGATCATCTACAAATCTACCTATTGGTTCCAGCGGACCACCGATAGCAGATACTATAGGGCGTCCCGGTGGTTGAGTAGGACACGGGGGTAAAACAGAAGGCTTAAGAGTGAAAGGGATTTTCTTGCTTAATATTTCAGCTCGTCGGGGGAACTTTGATAAAGTCCTCCTACAAAAAGAAAAATTCTGGATCTATACCCTGGGTGCACTTGTCCCATACGGACTGAACACAGAACTCAACTTTGGAGTTTTTTTGAATTTGATTTCTTGGAACCTTTAACATACCCTGAGCTATAATCTGAACTGGGGTATTATATATGGGAGTGAAATATCGATCTATTCGGATAAAGTATGAATCTAACTATGTGATTCTTCCTATTCCCACTATATATTGAATTCTTATAATAACTAGATCAATACTAAAATTAGGAAATTGAATCTTGTCTTTATGTCTCCCTTTTTGAATTATAATAATAATTCCTTTCCATTATCCTCTTTAAAGATGATCTGATTTACAGTAATATGGTTCCCCTTTTTATTGCCAGCAGCCAATTTAAATTCAATATATGTGTTTTAATTCACTTTGGATCTTTCGAATGTAGTGATACTCTTTCAACACAAGATGGCGAGGTGGAGACTTTTTGGTATGCAATTAGTGCACCATATAAGGCAAAGGATTGAAGTCCCCTCCCAGTTCTGACGAAGTCTGCGGTGATCGGCGGACGAAACGCGTCAACGTAATGACGTCACTACGCTCGGCGTCTTCATAGGGTGCGGTGCCCACGAGGTGGGAAGGAACGGCGGTGTCACAGCTCCTTGCTAGGAAGGCACGAGGCCCTCTGAAAACTACCATTAAGTCTACTACTACAGCGGTTCGCAAACGGCAATCCCCTAGGGGAATATACCTTCCACCGGTGGCAAGTTATTTAAGCTTACAGCTGTGTAGATTTATAGAGCATATCTGGAGCTAAGAGGGCATGTTACACGAGCCTAATCTACCCTGTATATTCGGGGAATCGTTTGGAAATCCTCTTTAGAGGATAAAATATATATATATATATATATACTTATACGCTATCCTATTTAGGCATTGTATGCTGTGACAAAGCCATATTCTATTCAAACCGCTTCAATTTTCTTAGATTGAGTAATTTTTGGAAACCCTTCAGTGGGTATATAGACTCAGGTATTTACGGCCTGCTACATACACAATGTATGTGTTTGGAATCTACGTACTGTGACTACCTGGCTTCCCACCCCCATATGCACCTTTGAACAAGCATCAAGGACCTGATCTTATTTCAAGTCGACGGGAGTCCTCTTGATCTCTATTGATGGTAATATACCCATACTCTGTTTTTTGCTTTCAGGGCTTTACTTGATGCCTGTGTTCTATACAATAACTCTTATATATATCCCCAGAATCATTTGGTACTGTGGACTTTGTTTCACTTGGGGTGGCTACCCAGGAAGTCCCTACACTTGAGAAGCGGGTATGACAGTCTCACAACTGAGAAGGTAATGAAAGTGTCCACTAATTACTGTAGAGGGAGGCTTGGTGAGGCTTGGACGTGATTCAGCTCCTATATTCTTATACATTTATTGTGTATTTTTGTGTTCCAGCTTCCATATACCAGGAGGCTACCCTACACATCCTGACTTATATTGGGAACATTTCTGCTGAATATATGGTTCACTCTAATACAAGCTGGAAATTCATGGAAACCTAGGACCAAAACCTCACCATTACCCTATATTGCCTTTTATGGTGCTCTACTTGCCTAAATGACCCTGAAATGAAGACGCTAAGTGCTTTTAAAATGATTTTATTTGTTTGACATGTTCACCGTGCTCATGTTTAACCTCCTTATGATCTATGTGATCAAATAAAGTATTGCCTGTAATTTTGAATCCATATTACTCCGCGTGGATCATTCAGTAACCTTCTTTTTTCAGGTAGGGGTGCTCTTGTCACACTACCATATTGTTTAGTACTTCCAGCATGGCTTGAGGTCCACAGCTAGACCTGTCTGAGTGGTGTACTGGATCCTTTCTTCCTGCTCTTCTTCTTCTGACCCAGGGCAGAGCCCCCAGCACAGGGTCCCTCTCAGGCAACTGGACCTTGGACTGCCAGGCTTGTGAGTATATCTGGGTTATTTCCTCTACCTTCTGGGACCCCCTCCCCAAGGATTGGGGGAAACTCCATAAATATTCAGGCTATAGCTTCTGTCCCCCACCCACTATGTTCTGGAAATTTCCAGTATGTTCCAGATGACGGGGAGGTAACAGAGCCAAAGTCTGTGAAGCACTGCCCAGTGTCCTAACACATTTAACACATGCTCCTCTGCCTACAGGAGAATCAAACTAATTTACCTACACTTGCAACTTTAGGTGTGCTACATTATTATTCAATAGTATAAATGTAGAAAATCAAAATACTGGACTGGCAGTTTCCACACACTTCCATGATTTCCGTGATAACCTTGGATTGTGATAGAAATTAGTGACTCTAGAACTGATGTGCCATAGTTATAGAAATCTAGATATGTTTCATCCAATAACAGATTATTTACAAAGCCAATGCATTTTGGGAAGTTTGGGGTTTAGTGTAGCTTCACCCCCTCCATCAGGAATGAAGGATGGAATGAAAAAGCTGCTGGCAGATTCTGCAAATTGGTAAAACACCCAATAACACACTTACTACCATGTCCACATACAATGATCTATTGTTTCTTTTCTTAAGCCTTGATCTGGGAAAGAGCTGCAGCCACTGAAACGTGTTAGCTTTGTAAAAACAGTTTGTGACTAGAAATAACCAGACTTGAATATTAGAAATGTAGTGTTTTATTTATAGGTAAACATATCCATTTTTTCATGACTTGCTTAACTAATTGCCTCTACATCTTTTGCTTTAAATATATTTAATTATGTCCCTCGTTTACAAAAATTAGTTTTGCGTACAGCTTTCTCCTAAGAGATTTTAAATATTATATAAATTCTCTAAAATAATTGCTCATCTCTTATATAATGAATGATGGTGCTGAGCAGAGAAAGTATTACTTTCACAATATAAATCTTATTTATAAGAATTCATTTTAATGTTTATTATAACTTTTCACTGTATAAATCTTTTTTTAAAATAATTAATATTACTTTTAAGTGTATTAAGCTTATTTATAAGAATTTGTATTATTTAATAATTAGACATATTTACTAGTAATCTTATTTATAATATTTCCGGAGAGAGAGATATCATATTACCCCTGTACAAATCGGAATATGCAGTTTAGTTTTGGGCACCAATTCACAAAAAGAACATTGGGGAACTGGAGAAAGTACAGAGAAGGGCAACCAAACTGATACGAGGCATGGAGGGAGATCAGCTATGAGGAAAGATTAGAGGAACTGAATTTATTCTCTCTTGAGAAGAGGAGATTAAGGGGGGATATGATCACCATGTATAAATACATCAGTGGCTCATGTAGTGAACTCGGTGTAGAGCTATTCACCCTGAGGTCATCACAGAGGACAAGGGGGCACTCTTTACGTCTGGAGGAAAAGAAATTTAATCTCCAAACACGGAAAGGTTTCTTCACAGTAAGAGAGCTGTGAAAATGTGGAATAGACTCCCTCAAGAGTTGGTTCTGGCTAGCTCAGTGGATTGCTTCAAAAAAGGTCTGGATTCTTTCCTAGATATACATAATATAACTGGATACTAACATTTATAGGTAAAGTTGATCCAGGGAATATCTGATTGCCTCTTGGGGGATCAGTAAGGAATTTTTTTCCCAGCAGGAGCAAATTGGATCGTGCTTTGCTGTTTTTTTTTCCTTCCTCTGGATCAACTGGGGTGTAGGATTATAACTTTTTTTTTTTTCTATGGTTGAACTGGATGGACTTTTGTCTTTTTTCAGCCAGACTAACTATGTAACTATGTAATATTTAATATTATTTATTATTTAATATTGAATTTCACTATATAATTCTTTTTTTTAACCCCTTCGCGCCGCTGCCTCCCGTCTCTTTAAGGTTTTCAGAAGCCTGGAGGCGGGGCGGGTTTAGGGTCATGTGACCGCCGTGATTCACTGTCACGGCGGTCACATGATCGGGAAAGGTCCCAATCGAAAGAGGAGATCGGGACCTTTCAGTGAGTACCGGACATGTGTGCGGGAGCGCGCAGGGCGCGCGCTCTCAGCACATATGTTCTTTTATATTAGAACGCAAATGTGCGGCAGCTCGGCGTCTAGGCCCAGATGCCAGGCAGCCGCATATTTCCATTCGTGAAGAGGTTAAATTAATTAATATTATTTAATAATTAATATTACTTTTAACTGTTCTTTATAAGGATTTTAAATTATTTAATAATTACAAATATTTACTATTACTCATATTTAAAAGAAATAAATAATAATATTTAATAATGAATATTGTATTTCAGTGCATAAATCTTGTTTAAAAGAATTACTACTACTATCTTATTGAATATTTTTTTTTTTTGCTGTATTAATCTTATTTAAAATAATTAATATTACTTTTAACTGTATAGATTTTTTTAAAATAACTAATATGTTTGAAAAATTTATATTTTTTCACTGTGTAAATCTTATTCATAAGATTTCTAAATGCTCCTGTTTTCATGGATATTTAGGCTGGTTTGATGTTCTTGAAAGACTGAAAAGGTTTGCAGTTTTTCTAAGTTATGTTTTGCTTATTGTTTGCTCATTCAACATTTTTGCTGTCCTAGAATTTACTACTAACGCCTCTTGAAGACATCACTACTTTTTTAAAATAAGAAAGGGTGCTAAAATGTAATTTAATATACTAAAATGTAAGTTAACCCTAAATTAATTTTTGGTATGCTTGGCATCATGCCTCACTACATTCAGTATTTATAAGATTTTGTTTTTTCTTGTGCATTTGTTACAAAGTTTTTTACCTAACGATCCAGTCAGAAATGGCAGACTTACAGGGTTAATTGATCATTTTAGTCTAGGGGAACAAAGAAAGATAATTTACTCACCAGGTCTACTGATCCTCCCTGCCACTAGGCTAGTCCCTGCAGCATCTTCTCCCCTAGACAGAAGGAGCAAGGGAAATTTTTTAGGTGCCTGGAGTTGGGCTTTAGGCAAGTAAGATGCGTGCAGTGTATATATTTAAACCCTTTACTGTTTTCTTTCTCTAACTATACCATCTCTTGGTTTTACATTTCAAAATAAAAGAAACAGGAGTTCATCTGGTCCTTTCAAATGTGCAATCTCAATTCACAACCTATAAGTAACAATTTGTGCAAAAAAGTGACATGTTCAGAAATAAATATTGAAATTTAATTTAAAAATTTGTATATATATTTCATATATAGAATAGTTCCTATAAAATTGTTCATATGAGAAAATCCAACATGGGGTGATGATGTGAGATACTGTGCAATATCAAAAGCCATACTATATTATTATTATTATTAGTATTATTATTATTATACGGGATCTATACAGCGCCAACAGTTTGCTCAGTGCTGTACAATATAACGGGAGACAATACAGCAACAATACAGTTCAATGCAAGAGCGATAGAGGGCCCTGCTCCTTGGAGCTTACAATCTAAGAGGGAGGGGCTGGTAGTACAAAAGGTAATAACTGTGAGGGATGGACTGGTAGGAGGAGTAGAAGATTCCATTATTAGCTGAGGGCAGGATAGGCTTCCCTGAAGAGATAGGTTTTCAGAGATCGCCTAAAAGTGAGCAGAGTAGGCGATAGTATGATAAATTGGGGTATAGAGTTCCAGGGGATGGGATAAGCTCTGGAGAAGTTCTGGAGATGAGCATGGGAGGAGGAGACAAGGGAGCTAGAGAGCAGGAGGCCATGTGAGGAGTGGAGAGTACGGTTTGGGCGATATATGGAGACAAGATTGGTGATGTAATTTAGGGCAGAGTTATAAATGGTTTCATATGTTATTGTTAATGTTTTGAATTGTATTCGTTGGGCAATGGGAAGCCAGTGGAAGGATTGGCAGAGAGGGATGGAGGACACTGAGTGGAGGCCAGTGGAGAGATTGGCAGAGAGGGATGGAGTACACTGAATGGAGGCCGGTGGAGGGATTGGCAGAGAGGGGTGGAGGACACCGAATGGAGACAAGTGGAGTGATTGGCAGAGAGGGATGGAGGACACTGAATGGAGGCCAGTGGAGGGATTGGCAGAGAGGGATGGCAGATACGGAACGGTTAGTAAGGTGGATGTGTCTGGCGGCAGCATTCATGATAGACTGAAGAGGGTATAGCCTGCGATGAGATAAGCCAATGAGGAGGGAGTTACAATAGTCAAGGCGAGAGATAACCAGGGAGTGAATATGTTTCTTAGTAGTTTCCGAGGTTAGGAACGGGGGTATCTTGGAGATGTTGCAGAGGTGAAGTCTAGATTTGGACAGCGATTGGATATCGCGCAGCCAGTGACATTCTCCTCCACCAACAGAAACTAACTTACCAGATGCCAAGACCTCCTAAAGTAAAATTATAGGCAAAACTTTTTTTCTGATAGAACAAGGAAGGGTTATAACCTCTGCCAGATTTTTTTTGCCATCTGTGTCCTATTGTAGAGATTTTGGTTCAATTCCTGTTCCATAGCCAAACAGGAAGTGAGAGGAAATCCCTGAAAATTAAGGAAATTCCTTAGGGATCTCAAGATCAACAGAACCAGTGCCCCCATTGAAAGATTTCTGGGGAAAAGTTAAAATTTGTGATTTACTTGTACTTTCACTTTCAATGACAATGGTAAACAGGACAAATAGAGAGGGTGAATCTCCTTAATGGGGGCTCAGACAGCAAAAAAAAATTGACAAGCATTCTAATCCTTCTCCACTACATCTAAAATGAATTAAAAAGTTGTGCCTTTAGTTATACTTTAATTATAAGCAATCAATGCACTTTCCCATCACAGTAGGACAATCAATATGCCAAATAATGAAAAACCCCTTTGGCCACACTCCTTTGATCCACATATGGAAGCCGCTGTATCAGTCTATCCTGACCATATAAAAAAAAGTCTCCACATAGTATAGTAAAGTAAAGCCTCTCCAGCTTATTAATAAGAATTGATTCTCACAAAGATAGAGAATTCCAATCCATAAACATGGAGGCCCAACAGCACTGCTTGGCATGCATGCGTCATGATGTCAGATTATTAGCTCCACTCGACGCATTTCACCACAATTGACTTTATCAGGGAACAGGAACATATCCTGCTTTCACATCAGGGCCGCCTTTTATTGATGTTTTATGACACATAACCTGACTGGCAAGTTGAAAGTATTTTTAATTGCTTTTGCAGCTCTACCTCTTTTCTTTACCTTTTGATTGAACATTGAATGAAAATTAATAGATTCAATCAAAAGACACCAATGTTGGAAAGAAATGAAAATATGATATATTATAAATAATATTGGTTACTGTTATTATTATTATATGTTATTTTAATTTTTTTTAACCACTTCAATTCCAGGCACTTATACCCCCTTCCTGCCCAGGCCAATTTTCAGCTGTCAGCGCTGTCACACTTTGAATGACAATTGCACGGTCATGGAACACTGCACCCATATAAAATTTGTATAATTTTTTTCATACAAATAGAACATTCTTTTGGTGATATTTAATCACCACCTGATTTTTTAATTTTTTTGCTAAATGGAACAAAAAACACCTGAAACCTTTGAAAAAAAACCCGCACTTTTCTTTGTTTCTGTTATAAAATGTTGCAAATAAATAACATTTCTTCATACATTTAGGTCCAAATGCATTCTGCTACACTTCTTTGGTGAAAATAATAATAATAATTGAATTTGTATTTTTTTTTCAAATGTTTCTATTTTTTTTATTAAATTTTTTTTTTTTTTTACTATTTTATTTTTCAGCACACTGTGACCAAAGCAATACAATGTTACCATAGTAACACTGAACTACTCTGGGCAAGTGATAGGGATTTTTTTTTTTTAACCCATGCATTTCATTGATATTTGCAATCATTAGTACTGAATTAAACTGATTCATTCAGTATTTTGTTGTGGTTACCTGTGATTGGGCAAAGCTGATCACATAATACAGATGGGCTGTGATTGGCCCTGTCTGTATCATGTGACTGCCTTGACCAGTCACAGCTAGCAACATAATTGTATACAATGGATGGCATGACAGGAAGCCATTCATTGTATACAATCGACATGTGATCTGCTGTGATTGGTCACAGTGGTCACATGACACTGGTAACAGGCCAGTGTAGTGATATGTCCCGTGGACACAGCCGGTGACAGATCGCGCCGCTGCGCAGCTCTGCGCCCACGGGAGCGGCTCATTTTGACAGGACATCATATGACAGCCTATAGCAGATTGATGGCCGTGCGGGAAGGTGTTAAGATAGCACTGATAGCATTCAAGTATGTATTCTTAAAAAAAAAAATCCCTTTTATTGCTCTCAGCCTCCTCCAAATCTCTAAATCTTAGCTGCTGTGACTTGACTTCCTGTTATCGGTGGGCTACCTTCATTCTCCATGGTCCCACTATATGTATGAACGTAGTCTCCCTCCCTAGATTTGGGACTTTGGACTATAGGATGTGTAGCTTGCATAGAGCAGTGTACATGACCACAACTAATGTGCACTGCTTGTTCAAAATAAACTATTTGTGAAAAGTGGAAAAGGAGAGGTTCGGGAGCTCACAGAGGACATTGCAAGGAGGCAGAAAAACACAAGAAGAAATTATTTTGTGAAAAATAGATAAACATTTTAAAAAATAGATTATTGTGCAATTAAGTAGTGGATGTGTAGATTGTTTTTAGCATTTAAAGTCAATTTAAAGGTGAACTCCATTCAGAATAACAATTGATGTAAATACAAATTGTCAGGTTTTTTTTTTTTTTTTTGCTTCCCTGACAGTAAAGTGCTTCATACTGAAAGTTTTTTTTTTTAATTCCTCACAGTTCCTATCTGAAGAAAAGAGGCCGTTACAAGTGGCCACTGTTGGCTGCAAATGCAATGTGTTTAATGGCTAGTTTATTTTCAGAAGCCTACAGAATTGCCCATAGGAGGCTTTATTTCCTACTACAGGTTCAAAAATAATGTTATTGTTTATATCCAGGGAATTCAGCCCTTAAAATATCAATAATATGAGGATAAATTGATCTTCATTTAGCATAGATATATATGGCCCAGGGTTGCATTATCCCCATAGCTCTCCTTTTAATGATAATGTGGACATGAAGAACAAGACGCTGGCTACAGAATTTATTTTGCTGGGATTCTCCAATGATCGGACTATTAACGTATTCTTGTTTGTGTTGTTTTTTTTTTCATATATTTTGTAACCATTGTTGGAAACGGTGTTATAATCTATATGATCGTCATCCATCCTAATTTGCATAGTCCAATGTATTTCCTTCTTACCAATCTGTCCTTCATTGACATGTGTAACTCATCCTCCGCTCTACCCAGGTTCTTAGTGGATCTTCTTTCTACTTGTAGGAAAATTTCCCTGGCCGCCTGTCTCACACAAGTTAATATGTTATTGCTAATTGGAGCCACGGAGTGCCAACTGCTTTTACTCATGGCATATGACCGATACCTTGCCATCAGTCGCCCGCTTCATTATCTGACTCTTATGAGATGGAGCGTTTGTTATTGGTTGACCGTCTTTGTCTGGATATTTAGCTTGATAACTGTTATAGTTCCATCTATTTTTATGCCTGTAACATTGTGTCATCCAAACCTGATTAACCACTTCATGTGTGAAGCTCTAGAAGTATTACAATTGTCATGTGATAAAAATGATGCTAAAGAACTTTTGATATTTCTTCTGAGTTTTGTTACTATTCTCATTCCATTCCTTTTAATTTTGACCTCCTATGTTTGTATTTTGCTTTCCATATTAAAGATTCGCTCTGTAGGAAGATCTAAGGCCTTTTCCACATGCACCTCACACATAACTGTGGTGGCTTTATTTTTTGGAACCGGAATGATTACATACTTAGGGTCACTATCCTGCCATTCACCAAACCAAGGGAAATACATTTCTATCTTTTATGTGATTGTACCACCAATGTTGAACCCTCTTATTTATAGTTTGAATAACAGGGAGGTTAAAATTGCCCTTTCTAAAAGCCTTAATAACTTTTTGATTATGTATTAAAGTGCTTGTCAAGCCAAAATGTTTTAGTTTGCATATTGTAAGGAAGGACTAGAACTCCTGATGGGTTTTACTACCTTCTGGGGTTACTTTAGACAGATTTCCTGTCACCTACTGTCAAGGTATCACCAATTTTACCAGTCAGGAAGTGAGAGAATACTGAGATATAAGTATGGTATGGTATGGTATGACCATAGCATAGCTTAGCCATTCCCAAGAACCCTGAGTGTTCCAGCTAGTATGGTATGGTATGGTATGGTATGGTATGGTATGACCATAGCATAGCTTAGCCATTCCCAAGAACCCCGGGTGTTCCAGCTAGGTATGGTATGGTATGGTATGACCATAGCATAGCTTAGCCATTCCCAAGAACCCTGGGTGTTCCAGCTAGGTATGGTATGGTATGGTATGGTATGACCATAGCATAGCTTAGCCATTCCCAAGAACCCTGAGTGTTCCAGCTAGTATGGTATGGTATGACCATAGCATAGCTTAGCCATTCCCAAGAACCCCGGTTGTTCCAGCTAGGTATGGTATGGTATGGTATGGTAGCATAGCATAGCTTAGCCATTCCCAAGAACCCTGGGTGTTCCAGCTAGGTATGGTATGATATGGCGGCACAGTGGCTTTGTGGTTAGCACATTTGCCTTGCAATAAATGGGTCATGGGTTCGATTCCTGACCATAGTGCCTCCTGTGTGGAGTTTGTATGTTCTGCTTGTGTGGGTTTCCTCCAGGTGCTCCAGTTTCCTCCCACACTCCAAAGACATGCTGGTAGGTTAATTAGATCCTGTCTAAATTGGCCCTAATATGTGTATGTATGAATGTAAGTTAGGGACCTTAGATTGTACACCCCTTGAGGGTTAGGGACTGATGTGAATGTTCAATACTTATGTGTAAAGTGCTGCATAAATTGACAGCACTATATAAGTACCTGAAATAAATAAATAATATGGTATGACCATGGTATAGATTACCCATTCCACAGAATCCTGGTTGTTATAGGCAATAGAATGTTAAGGAAGCTGTCCCCTCCCACCTGAGGAACACAATAATGTGCTTGTATATACACACTGTATGGAGGGGCAACAACATAGATGGGAAGCGAGAAAAGAAAACCTTGTAGCTATTTAAGAAAGTGAGGAAGTAAGCTACCACTAAACCCTGCTGAGAAAGTCCCCAAGCTGGAGGAAATGGATCAAGACAAATGGTCTGCTTGATCCTGCAGCATGAAACACAGAATCCATAGGATGTTATCAGCCAATGCGATATAACCAATCAACAGAGAGAGTAAGTCTTTTTCAGTATCCATTTGGTTGGTATTGATGCAAATATGGGTGTATTACAAGTGAAGTCATGAGGACTTTTGTTTCAACACTTGTAGAATGAATACAATCTTGTGCTGATTTTTTGGATCCAAAAGGATGGCAAGTCATATCACCTGGTATTGAGTGCCTCAAAACACAGAGCTGTCAACATGAAGAGTATGGCAGGATTACTTCACTGTGATATTAACTGCTTAAATCTGATTAGCACTTAACAAACACCTTGAAATTTTGGGGGGTTAAATATTAGGCCTGGAATGGCTCAGGTGTACTATTAAAGACTATGTAAACCCAACATTTCATATTTCTGATATGTGCTTGCTGTACCATGTACTTGTATGACAAAGTATCCTGTTATCTTTGTATAGCTTCCTTTGTGTGAAATCCCTTGTGTTCCTGCCAGTCCCACTGCTTTCCTATTAAAAACTGACCACACTCAGCAGGAGAACACACTGTGATCAGATCTCTAGCTATGCTGAGAACTCAACCTGCTCTCCTCCAATGATTAGATGTCTGTTGACACCTCCCTTCCCCCTGCCCAGCCATTCACTGGGACGTTCAGTGTATTATGTCTCCTCCCCCAGCTCCTATGCAGCTGAGAAAAGAAGGAATATGATCACTTATTAAAAAAAGAGGAAATAAGGGTATTTATAATGTTTTTTTATATCTATACACAAATGTTTTGTCTTTCATTTCTATTTTAAACGGAATGAGGTGTTTTACAAGCTGAGGGTTTATGTGATACTGCCTTGCTTTTACCATTTGCAATCCATAAGACACGCTAGTGGGGGAAATTTACTAAAAACTGAAGGACTCAGAAATTCTGGTGCAGCTGTACATGGTAGCCAGTCAGCTTCTAACTTCAACTTGTTCAAGTAAGCTTTGGCAATGAAAACTGGAAGCTGATTGGTTTCTATACAGAGCTGCACCAGATTTTGCATTCTCCAGTTTTAGTAAATAACCCATGTTACCTTCATGCTGACATGGGGTTGTTTGCTGTGATGAATGAATATTATAATACTTGAATGCTCTACATCTCTGGATATAATGAACTTTGCTACAGGTCTCTATAGGACAGAGGTCTCCAAACTTTTCAGTATGAGGGCCACATCATATATTTTACAAATATTCATGGGCTAAGTAAACAATCAGTTTTATAAATGAATGATTACCATGCTTCAAGAATAACTTCACGTCAGACACCCCACATCATCAGACACCCCACATCATCAAGTCCTACCTTTAAATTAGAAGCCTCCCCATCATATCAGAGCCCTCTTTACATCAGAGTATCATTTTATCACAGAGTCCTCCATTCACATAAGAGTGCCCCTTCATATTTGAGCCTCCCATTCACATCAGAGTCCCCCTTTTACATCAGAAGCCCACTGCTGAATTAGGATTGAACACACCTGACTTTCTGTATAGGGTAGTGTATAATGTCCTATCCTATCTTTCCAGTCTTGAACATCTAAAATGGAATATGTTAACTAAGTTATATAGGTAAACCCAAATTGAATTCACCAACATTTGAGGTGGTAAAAACTGTGATGGGATTTAGTTTTGGGAGATTTCCACTTACTTCCTCTTGTATCTCCAAGACAGGAAGTGAAAGAAGATCTATACCCCCTTCCCCCTTCTATTTAAAACTAAATAAAATGTGTTTCTTTTGTGTTTATTTTTTATGTGCTTTTATTTTTTACTATTTTTCATTGTTTGGGAGTTTTTCCTCCTGCATTTCTACATGTGTCTCATCCCTTCAAATTATTTTTGGAATCACAGACATTATATAATCCATGTGGTTCCTTTTTTACAGAAACAGCATAGAGGTTTTCAGAAATAGTGTTTTCATTTTATATGAACTGTTCAGGCCCTTTGTGGGAATGTAGGGGGATGGGAGATGATGGTAGAAGGGAAAGATGGAAGATGATGGTGGGGTGGGGTTGGATTGGGAAGTGATGGTGAAGGTAGCATGGGGGGTAAGACCTGATAGAAGTGTGCGACTGGGTTATGATGATGGGGAAAGTAGAAGCTGAAGATAGATGGGAAGAAGATGGAGGCAGATGGTGAGGTGGGATTAGGAAGTGTAATAGTAGACATAGCATAGGAGAAAAAAACCTGATATAGGTATGAGATTGAGATTTTAATGGTGTGGAGAGTAGGATCTGATGGTAGATGGGAAGAAGATGGAAGCCGGTGATGGCGCAATGATAAAGGTAGCATGGGGGACCAGAGCTGATGGAGGTAGGAGAGTGGGATTTTATGATGGGTAGAATGGGAGCTGAATATAGATAGCAAGAAGATGGAAGGTGATATTGGGGTGGGATTAGAAAATGAATGAGGAGTTAGAACGAGGGACACAGGACTTAATAGAGGTGTGAGAGTGTGATTTATGGTGTGGGGGGGGGGGGAGTGGGAGCTGATGGTAGATGGAAAGAAGATGGAAGTTTATTGGGTGGGGTGGGATTTGGCATCTGCAGATGCTGAAGCACAGTAATTAGCTAAGTTACTTATTCCTGGATTTTTTTTATTAGAGTTGGCAAACATGATAGAACATAAAAAAAAACCCAAAACATAGAAAAGCTGTGTTTTTTTTATCACACGATGTACAAACTGTTTGTCAACATTAAAGTACACTCAAAGGAATGATCAATGTTGACTGAACAGATTATGGTCCATTTTACAATCTTCTGAAATAGCATACATAGTACTCTACTTTTTAAAAAAAAAATGGTGGGGTTGCCCCAAAGAGAATGAATCTTAAGGGCGATGGAAAATTGTGCAAACAAGGTAGAACAAAACCACATCTGTGATGGGTTAATCATGAAACAAAGTATCAATTAAAAAAAAAGTGGGAGGGGAAAAAGTTGGACAAGGAAAAGAAAGAAAATACTGTATATTACAATACCAGTCTGAAGGAGAGCCCAAAGTGTAAATAAGGGGTATTTAGATTCCAAAAATCAAATATTGTATCATAGTAGTTTGTCATTAAAAAAGTAGTTAATTAAAAGGTCAAAGTCTGACAGAATATAGTTAGAGATCCAAAGTCCCTTTATTTTTAGAGAGTTATACAAGCTTTAAGTTGATGGGGGTTTTTTTCCCCAAGGTACTTCCAATGGTTTGTTTTGCTGCAGTTAAAATAAAGGAGATGAATTGGAATTTCAGTCTGGAATAATCATCAGATTTCATACCTAACAAAGCCTCTTCTGAGTGCTTCAACATGGGTCTGTTGAAAACAGTACAGTATAAATGAGTTTATGTGTATGAGACCAGAAACAACAGCAGGGCAATCCCACCAAATACTCCATGTCTGAATGTACCATTTTCTGAACAACCCCAAAAACAACCAGATTGGTATCCCAGAATCACACATACCAACATATTAGCACTTTATAATTTGTTTCATTATCTAAGACATTGATAGACGTATTAACCCATATAGCTTACCCGAGAAAATAGCAATCCCTAGGTCAGAAGCCCAACTAGACATAGAGTCATAGAGCAAGACATTAGTAGTAATGAGTAGATGGTGGAGATAATCCTTGGGGCATGATGGTTTGTGTTACAGAAGTGTTCAAATGATGTAAGTTGTAGAGGGGTATCAGAAAAGCGAAGCAGTGAAAACGTGTTATGTTTAGTTTGAACATATCGAAAAACCTCTCTAGGTGATATATTATCCAATTCTTTTAGGGATTCAAAGGACATAAATCCAGAGGAACAGAGATCATACAGGCAAATTAATTTAGTGCTTAACCACCACGAAAAACTTCGGACAGAATCCAGGCCAGGAGTGAATAATGGATTATCTAAAAAAGGAGGTTAAAGGAAGATTATTGGATAAAAGCTTGCTGGAATATTTAACCGAATGCCACTCTCCATAAGATAGTGTAAGGTAACAGGACTTGAAAGTACTCTGTGCCCAGATGGTGGAAGCTAAAGGAGAGTTTGTGTAGAAGGAAACACAGCATACACTTCAACACTGACCCAAAGCAGGACATTAACCTGAGCATGAAGAAGGGCAAGTTGGGATATTTTCACAGATTGGAAACAGCTGGATATATGTGGGACTCCCAATCCTCTTCGCAGCTTAGGTCAAAATAAGGTGTGTATCGCAACTCGGGCCTAGTATCAATCCATGTAAAGCAAAGATCTTGGCTTGAAAAAATTGGAGAACATGTGGAGGGATCTGCAACAGTAAGACTCTAAAATAATATAAAAAGTTGGGTAGGAGAGTCATCTTGACTGCTGCAATCTGTCCAAGCCAAGAGACCTTGTGGTGTTGCCATTCAGTCAATAGACCTTTCAAGCTTCTTAACCTCCCTGGCGGTATGATTATTTCCGATTTTTGGTGCTGAAAGCAGTACCATTATTTTGCATGGAAATATGTAGTTTTTTTATTGTAGGCTGTAATATTTAGGAATAACTCACTGAAATCTCTACGAACAAGAGTCTAGTAAACATCCCGGGTATGATAAAATTTTTAAACACTAAATCATAAATTATAATTTAATAAATAATCATAAAAAATAATAATATAATAATAATACATTTAATTCAATAATATAATCAAACCAAAAACACTGAAATTTGAAATATAGCGCCAAGTTCGCACATCACTGAGCAAAGTCGCAAAATTGTTTTCAGTGTCTGATGACGAATTTCTCCACGAATCATTATCACTCAATTCTGCAAGTAGTTCTCATTTACTATCGCTGTTCTCTAGCCGGTCTAAAAGCGCTTTTGACCTAAAGGGACGCTTTTTTGGACACCATGGACTTTTCTAAGTTTCCAGGCAGAAAGAACAGTCAAAATGCAGACAGGGGACAGGACAAAGCACTTGGGACAAAATGTATGTGAAATGGTTTGAAACAGCAATGTTTTACTATGTAAAATTCGTTTTGAAAAAAATGACATTTTTCTTACATTTTCAAATTTCCCGCCGCTGGGGGCGCCCGTACGTCCCGACGTCACAGGGACAGGAAGACAGAAGCCGGATGCCGGCATCAGCCGGAGGAGATGGCCGGGGACGCTACAGGGACACATCGCGGGAGCGAAGGACAAGGTAAGTGCTGCAGGGACTCCCTATGCAGCGCCACATGGTAAGCCCGAGTGTAGCTCAGGGTTACCGCTTTTGGTACAGACATTTTACCCCAAGCTACACTCGGGAATACTGCCAGGGAGGTTAATAGAACTGGGTAATTGGCCTGAAAAAGTATATCATGAGTTAGCTAAATAGATGCCTAGGTAGGGAAATTTGTGCAGGGTCCATGTGAAGTCAAAATTATTCTGAATACACTGACATATTTCTGGAGAGGTTAATATTCAAAACTTATGATTTCTGACTGTTAACATGGGTTCCAGACAGGGGTGGACTGACCATTTGGAAACGTGGGCACTGCCCGAGGGCCCAGGGTCAGTAGGGGGCCCCATGAGATGCCCCTGGTAGCTTTTTCATAGGCTTTTTTGAGTTTGGGCAAGGACACAGGGGCCCCATGATCCCCTATTGCCCGGGGGCCCCATGAGTTGTCAGTCTGCCCCTGGTTCCAGAAATAGATGAGAAATCCTGCAGAAGGTTAAATACATTAGGAAATAATAAAATAGGTTTGTTAGTGAAAAGACTGCATAATGCAAAATTCATGATAGTAACCCACTACTTCAAGGCTAGTAATATCAAGAGATTGGCGAAGCACGTGCCCCAAGGGTTTTTATTTGATAAAATCTGCCCTTTTTGTGGTAACAAGCTTTCTGAGGAAACACTTATGTTTATCATAATCATATTTAAATGTACAGTAGTTGCCTGACTCACTATCTTTGTTAAAAGGCAAAGCATCCATTTAGGTGCAAAGCCAGTAAATGCATATATTGTATAAAACAAAAAAGGTAACCAAAGTGTACACAAAAAACTTCCGGTCACCTGCAATATTTAAAAAAAAAAAAATTTCTGTGCATTTTTTACTCCTTTATTATTCCAACTGTAAATAATTGGGTTTAAAGCTGGACACATAATATGAAAAAATAAAGATAAATATTTTCCTTCATGTATAGAGTATTCAGTTAAGGGTCCAAAGTACATAATAATGACTGTTCCGTAGCTAATAGCCACTACAATGATGTGGGATGTACATGAAGAAAAAGCTTTGGACCTTCCTGTAGAGTGAAGCTTCAATTTGCTGGAGATAATACATATATAGGATACTATAATAAACACTAAGGGAAGAAACAAAGCAAAAAAATGTCAGGAACATGACACTTTTGCTGAAATCAATACTACCATAGGCTAGTTGTATGATGGCTAGAACTTCACACATGAAATGATTGACCTGGTTTGGTTTACATAGGATCACTGGCACAGCAAGAGGTGGAAATATAAAGACTATGAAACTCATCATCCATGCAACGGCAGTCAGCTGGTAACATACAGTCTAGAGATGAGCGAATTATTCAAAAATTCGATTCGGCTGATTCGCCGAATTTATTCGCTACGAATTTTAACTTATAAAAAGGGTTTCTAGGCTTCAGAGAGCCTTTAAATTAGTGCAGAACACTGTACCTTTAATTTAAATGCCCTTGGAGATGAGGAAGGAGAAGGAGAAGGAGAAGGATGAGAAGAAGGAGAAGGAGAAGGATGAGAAGAAGGAGAAGGAGAAGGATGAGAAGAAGGAGAAGGATGAGAAGAAGGAGAAGGATGAGAAGAAGGAGAAGGATGATAAGAAGGATAAGGAGAAGGAGAAGGATGAGAAGAAGGAGAAGGATGAGAAGAAGGAGAAGGAGAAGGATAAGAAGAAGGAGAAGGAGAAGGATGAGAAGAAGGAGAAGGAGAAGGATGAGAAGAAGGAGAAGGATGAGAAGAAGGAGAAGGATGAGAAGAAGGATGAGAAGAAGGAGAAGGATGAGAAGAAGGATGAGAAGAAGGATGAGAAGAAGAAGGATGAGAGAAGAAGAAGGATGAGAAGAAGGAGAAGGATGAGAAGAAGAAGGATGAGAAGAAGAAGAAGGATGAGAAGAAGAAGAAGGATGAGAAGAAGGAGAAGGATTTTGTTTCCATAAATGGAAACAAATAGATACAATGTTTCCATCGCTGAGCTCTGCAGATACACTTAGCGGAGCTCTGCAGATACTCTTAGCGGAGCTCTGCAGATACACTTTTTGCCGGCTTGGAATTTTTTATTTTCATCCTACTTCTTCTTCTTCATTCCTCATCCTCAGAAGAAGAAGAAGAAGAAGAAGAGGATGAGGATGAGGATGAAGAGGAAGAAGAAGAAGAAGTAGGATGAAAATAAGAAGAATTCCAAGCCGGCAAAAAGTGTATCTGCAGAGCTCCTCTATTCTGCAGATACACTTAGAGGAGCTCTGCAGATACACTTTTTGCCGGCTTGGAATTCTTCTTATTTTCATCCTACTTCTTCTTCATCCTCATCCTCATCCTCAGAAGAAGAAGAAGAGGATGAGGATGAAGAAGAAGAAGAAGAAGTAGGATGAAAATAAGAAGAATTCCAAGCCGGCAAAAAGTGTATCTGCAGAGCTCCGCTAAGTGTATCTTCAGAGCTCCGCTATTTCTGACAGTTCTCTGACATTCACTCCATACAGCGGTTGTGGTCAAAATTGTATAACTTACTAATAGTGTACCAGCTGCAAAAAACCACCATATATAAAGTGTACCAATTAATAAATAATTTGCGCTAGTAAATATATATAAATATATGAAAAGAAATCATCAAATCATAAGTCCAGAAAAATATATATATACCAATACCACAGAAAAATATAAAAAACTTTTTAGGTGCAAAAAAACTTTTGTGCAAAAGGAGTGTCTCAATATAAAAAAAGTGTCTCAATATAAAAAAATTTCACCAAAAAACCTTGATAATATAATGGCAGATCATCCATAAAAATATCTTCAGAAACGGAAGCTCTCCAACACACCGATCCTCATCGATCGAAATAACAGGACGAAAAACTTTGTAGTTAATCGAAAATCCACTTCTCCAATAGAAAAAGGACCACCTTCAAACGTATCCATGGGGGGAAATGCCAAGCACTCGAGAGAAACAGAAAGACTTCATGGTGCAATATTATAAAAACCAATTCCTTTATTAGATACTCATTGCACTTACTCAAGAGGTGTCCCAGCCGACACCAGCATCAACAGCATCAACAGCAATCACATAAACGAGCCTGACTACTCAGCACATGTGCAATAGCTGGCAGTCAAAAACGTAATGACATCACATCAATCAAGCTCTGCCCTACGCGTTTCGTCATCGACGTCCTCACGGAGCGGATAGATGTGAGACGTCTCACCCTCATTAAATATACACTCACAGGAAACGAACAGCTGACAACAATGGGGAATCAAGCAAAGCAAGCCGCCCCAAGGATGACAGAAGTCCACAAAAAGTATACAATATATCCAATATATTTGCCATCACAAGCAAAAAACTTTAAAACAAGGGAACAAAAATAAAAAGAAATTTAAATAAAACAATGATAGTAAATAAATTAAATAAATAAATACAGTAACGGGCCAATACCCTCTAAGACTGTGTTTCAAAAAGGGAACTTAAAGGGCCAGTAAAACATTAAGCACAAATAAAGGGGAACTCTAGTGATAATACAAAAATAATGCAGAAATTGTATAAAAAGCACACAATCTTCCATATATCATCTTTAAACAGTTGCCTATATGAAAATATACTTAAAAAGCATAAAAATTAAAATTTAAAAATTTTGTGAGAAAACAGTTCAAATCTATATCGACATTTAACCCGAATGGTTGCAAGGAATTTAGTTCATAAATCCAAAACGTCTCTTTTTTGGAAATCTCATTAACCAAATCCGAGCCCCTCCAATGGGGTTTTACCATCTCAATCCCATAAAAGGTAAGTAAGCTCGGATCACAATTATGTACCAATTTAAAATGTTTGGATACACTATGTTTATCAAATCCTTTTACTATGTTTCTTATATGTTCGCCTATTCTTGTTTTTAAACATCTCCCAGTTCTCCCAATATATCTCAAATGACATGGACATTCTAAAACATAAATCACATGTGTAGAATTGCATGTAATCAGGGATTTAATATCATATTCTTTTTTGGAAAATGAAGAGCAGAATGACTTTCTTTTTTTATTACTACCGACTTTTACAGTCCTACATACTTTACACTTCCTACAAGGAAAAAAACCATTTAAATTTGGAAACAGATCGAACTTTTTTGGGGGTTCGATGACATTGCGAGCCAATTTCATCCTAAGAGACTTATTTTTCTTATAAATGAATTTAGGAGTTTTAGATAAGAATTTATTTAGTATATCATCTTTTAGCAAAATGGGCCAATATTTTTTAAAAATTCGTTCAATATTTTTATATTGCATATTATAGTTAGTAATAAAGGGTACATTATTTTCAAATCCCACATGAGCCTTTTTATTTCCAAGAAATGTCTCCCTATCTTTAATACCAATCGAATTTCTCTCTTTAATCAAAAAGGTCTTATCATACCCTTTCTCTAGAAATCTTTCAATTAACACCTCAGATTGATCGAAAAAATCTTTGTTAGCGCTACAATTTCTTTTTAATCTGGTAAACTGACTTTTTGGAGTGCTATATAACCAATTTGGATGATGTCCACTAGAAATAGTTATATAGCTGTTTTTGTCCACTTCCTTGAAGTAAGTTTTGGTACAAATTTGACCATTATCTTTATATAGGACCAGATCCAAAAAATTAATTCGCTCAAAATCACTAATAACAGTGAATCTCAATCCATAGCGGTTCATGTTAATATATTCCATAAAAGAATCGAGTTTTTCTCTGGATCCATCCCATACCATTATAATGTCATCACTATACCTCTTGTATAGCGCCATCTCTGGCCATTTATTGAAAATACTTTCTTCCTCCCATTTATCCATTACCAGATTTGCAACACTGGGAGCATACTTAGCTCCCATAGCAACACCTTTGCATTGCTGAAAAAAAGTGTTGTTATACCAAAAGAAATTATTATTCATCGCAAATTCAAGTAATTCAACAACGAATTTCCTCTGCGATCTTTTCAGGAGTGATTTATGTTTAAGGGCCCATTTTACCGCATTAATTCCATCATTTTGATCGATGTTAGTATATAAAGATTCTACATCTATAGTAACCAATATGCAATTATCAACATTATGTAATTCTTTAAGAATATTAATAAGATGTCCACCATCTCTCAGAAAAGCCCTATTTGTCATAACAATATTTTTCAGAAAAGTATCAACATATTCACCAACTCTTGCAAATAAAGAATTATCCCACTCACAATGGGTCTCCCCGGTGGGTTCTCCTTATTTTTGTGTATTTTTGGTAAATAGTATATAGTAGGTATTCTCGGATGTTTAATCAGTAAATATTTTGCTTCTTTTTCAGTTAATACCCCCAACTCTTTTCCTTTATTAATAATACTCTTAAGTAGTAATTTAAGTTTCTTAGTGGGATTTTTTGATTTATTTAAATTTCTTTTTATTTTTGTTCCCTTGTTTTAAAGTTTTTTGCTTGTGATGGCAAATATATTGGATATATTGTATACTTTTTGTGTGGACTTCTGTCATCCTTGGGGCGGCTTGCTTTGCTTGATTCCCCATTGTTGTCAGCTGTTCGTTTCCTGTGAGTGTATATTTAATGAGGGTGAGACGTCTCACATCTATCCGCTCCGTGAGGACGTCGATGACGAAACGCGTAGGGCGGAGCTTGATTGATGTGATGTCATTACGTTTTTGACTGCCAGCTATTGCACATGTACTGAGTAGTCAGGCTCGTTTATGTGATTGCTGTTGATGCTGTTGATGCTGGTGTCGGCTGGGACACCTCTTGAGTAAGTGCAATGAGTATCTAATAAAGGAATTGGTTTTTATAATATTGCACCATGAAGTCTTTCTGTTTCTCTCGAGTGCTTGGCATTTCCCCCCATGGATACGTTTGAAGGTGGTCCTTTTTCTATTGGAGAAGTGGATTTTCGATTAACTACAAAGTTTTTCGTCCTGTTATTTCGATCGATGAGGATCGGTGTGTTGGAGAGCTTCCGTTTCTGAAGATATTTTTATGGATGATCTGCCATTATATTATCAAGGTTTTTTGGTGAAATTTTTTTTATATTGAGACACTTTTTTTATATTTGAGACACTCCTTTTGCACAAAAGTTTTTTTGCACCTAAAAAGTTTTTTATATTTTTCTGTGGTATTGGTATATATATATTTTTCTGGACTTATGATTTGATGATTTCTTTTCATATATTTATATATATTTACTAGCGCAAATTATTTATTAATGTCAGAGAACTGTCAGAAATAGCGGAGCTCTGCAGATACACTTAGCGGAGCTCTGCAGATACACTTTTTGCCGGCTTGGAATTCTTCTTATTTTCATCCTACTTCTTCTTATTCTTCTTCATCCTCATCCTCAGAAGAAGAAGAAGAATGAAAATAAGAAGAAGAAGAAGAATGAAAAGAAGAATGAAAAGAAGAAGAAGAATGAAAAGAAGAAGAAGAAGAATGAAAAGAAGAATGAGAAGAATGAAAAGATTCTTCTTCTTCTTCTTCTTTTCATTCTTCTTTTCATTCTTCTCATTCTTCTTTTCATTCTTCTCATTCTTCTTCTCATTCTTCTTCTTCATTCTTCTTCTTCTTTCATTCTTCTTCTTCATTCTTCTTTCTTTTCATTCTTCTTTTCATTCTTCTTTCTTCTTCTTCTTCTTTTCATTCTTCTTTTCATTCTTCTTCTTCTTTTCATTCTTCTTTTCTTCTTCTTCTTCTTTTCTTTCTTCTTTTCTTCTTTTCTTCTTCTTCTTTTTCTTCTTCTTTTCTTCTTTTCATTCTTCTTTTCATTCTTCTTTTCATTCTTCTCTTCTTCATTCTTCTTCTTTTTCTTCTTCTCATTCTTCTTTTTCATTCTTCTTCTTCTTCTTTTCATTTTCATTCTTCTTCTTTTTTCTTCTTTTCATTCTTCTCATTCTTCTTTTCATTCTTCTTCTCATTCTTCTTTTCATTCTTCTTCTTCTTTTCATTCTTCTTTTCATTCTTCTTCTCATTCTTCTTTTCATGAAGAAGAAAAGAAGAATGAGAAGAATGAAAAGAAGAATGAGAAGAAGAATTAAAAGAAGAATGAGAAGAATGAAAAGAAGAATGAGAAGAATGAAAAGAAGAATGAGAAGAAGAAGAATGAAAAGAAGAAGAAGAATGAAAAGAAGAATGAAAAGAAGAAGAAGAAGAAGAAGAATGAGAAGAAGAAGAAGAAGAATGAAAAGAAGAAGAAGAAGAATGAAAAGAAGAATGAGAAGAATGAAAAGAAGAAGGAGAGAAAATGAAAAGAAGAATGAAAAGAAGAAGAAGAATGAAAAGAAGAAGAAGAAGAATGAAAAGAAGAATGAAAAGAAGAAGAAGAATGAAAAGAAGAATGAAAAGAGAATGAGAAGAATGAAAAGATTCTTCTTCTTCTTCTTTTCATTCTTCTTTTCATTCTTCTTCTTCTTTTCATTCTTCTTTTTTCTTCTTTTCATTCTTCTTTTCATTCTTCTCATTCTTCTTTTCATTCTTCTCATTCTTCTTCTCATTCTTCTTTTCATTCTTCTTCTAATTCTTCTTTTCATTCTTCTTCTTCTTTTCATTCTTCTTTTCATTCTTCTTCTCATTCTTCTTTTCATGAAGAAGAAAAAAGAAGAATGAGAAGAATGAAAAGAAGAAGAAGAATGAGAAGAAGAATGAAAAGAAGAATGAAAAGAAGAATGAGAAGAATGAAAAGAAGAATGAAAAGAAGAAGTATTCCAGTACAGCAAAAAGTGTATCTGCAGAGAGCTCCGCTATTTCTGACAGTTCTCTGACAGTTCCTTCACATTTACAGCGGTTGAAACATTGTATCTATTTATTTCCGAATAAAAACATCTGTATCCTAAATGGAAACAAATAGATACAATGTTTCAACCGCTGTACATGTGAAGGAACTGTCAGAGAACTGTCAGAAATAGCGGAGCTCTCTGCAGGGACACTTTTGCCGGCTGATCGGGAAAAATCCGATTCGCGCACCCGAATTATGCTAATAAGGTTCGACGCGAATCGAATTTTTCCTGAAATTCGAAACGAATTCCACTTCGCCTGGTTCGATTCGCTCATCTCTAATACAGTCCATCTCATCAGAATTGGATAAGGCAAAAGGTGGCAAATGGCAGCATATCGTTCATAAGCCATGAGAGAAAGAAGAAAAGACTGTACCAGACAAAAGAAGTATGATGAAGCATTGCAGGGTACAAGCACAAACTGAAATTGTTCTTCGAAAGGTAATGAGATCAGAAAGTATCCAGAGCATGACAGATGACGAAATACACAAGTCGAGAATGGCTAAAATGCAGAGGAAGAAGTACATCAGAATGTGTGATTGTGGGCTGATGAGGACTACAAAGAATATAACATTCTCTGTAAGGGTTGTAAGATAGATCCCTAGGAAAAGTGCAAAGAGTATTACCTTTATCTTCAGATATGTTGAAAGCCCCTGCAAAAATAGTTTTGTAGTCAGTTTCTTGTTCTTGAAGTCCATGTATTAGGACCCCTCAAAATATTATCTTTCCTGCCATATTGGAGAGTTAAAAAATGAATATGTAAGGAGCAATAAACAAAGTTACAAACATCACATTTAAGCCACATGCCTCTAAGAGTCTAAAATTTTAATTTAAAATGCCTATACTTTAAATCTAGATAGAATTTATAGCCAGTAGTGTGAGACCATTTGACCATCACACTCATATAAGTTTGTTAGACATCCCAATCCTGAACAGGGAATGTTAATATAGAGTCATCCTCCCTATGTGGCTATGATGGCCTCCACACTTATGGGAAACTTTTCCACAAGCTTTTGCGATGTGTCTGTAGGAATTGGTTCCCATTCAGCAATAAGAGCATTTGTGAGGTCAGGTACTAATCTTGAATAATTTAACCTGGCTCTAAGGCGTAGTTCCATTCTTTCTAAAAGTGTAAATAGGGCTGAGGCCAGAACCCTATGCAGGCCCTAGACTTCCTTAAATGCTAAAATAAACCATGTCTTCATGCAACTGGCTTTGTACACAGGGACACAGTCATTACCCAAACTGTTACCACATGATTGGAAGTAATGCTTACCCCTAAGTCAGGTGGTCAAGCACTATGAAAGTCCAGGTACAAGGCAGGCAAAGTTCAGAATAGTTTGGTCAAATCCATAGTCAAAGAGGCAGGCAGAGTTCTGAGCATAGTTGATATCTGACTCGAGATTGTCAACGAGAAAATACAAACTGCAGATCAGGGCAGACAAACGGAGCTTGAGTACATGTCACAAAGTCTATCACAAGCATTGGACTGCAGGCTTGGGCTGGCTTAAATCAGGTTTGATCTGGCTACATAAATCACCTTGCAGTTGAACAAGCAGACAGGGAGAATGGATCATAGCCAAAACCAGGATGCTGGAATAAGACCAGCAACTGTGATGGAGCAAGAGACATTACAATTGTCTAAAACATTTTGCATGCTGTACAAATAACAGTACCCTTCACTAGAAATACTTGACCTCAATAATTGTAAGGAAGTTCACATACAACTGAACAATTAGTGTACGTAGAATACTTTTATTGTTTTTAATCTTTATGACCTACCTTCTCTTTATATTATCTATTGGAATATGCAAGAATATGCAAGAATGAACTCCAGCCAATGAAAAAAGTGAGTGAAATGAAATGATCACTGTGTCCACTGAGGGTGACACATGGAAATGTTTTAGATGTTCTGCAACTGAGGTTGCTCTTTGCTCACAAGTTGCATAATTATTGCTATAAAGGAAGTGTATTATTGTGAGTCTTATTGAGCCCTGTCCACCTACACCCAAAAAAGGAAATGCAATTCCAGGTTTTTAAAAAAGGAGGCTGAAAAACATTTTGGAAGAACAACTTTAAGGCAGTTTTTTGAAAATCTTATATTGTCCATCATCTGCTGGGCAGTTTTAAGCACATGCATGCCTGGATCCAATCAGCATAGCCTATACCTGGATCAGGGCACCTACAGAGTCCTTGTGGTGACTTACGTACTATTGAGTATTTCGATCTGGTTTTCTGGTTACAATACAGCTTGTACTTGGCATCAGTATTTATTCTATTCTAGTTCTATCTAGCTCATACCTGGAGCCTTGCTACTTCCAGTTGCCTATTTTTATTACTTGGACTGCTTTTGGTTTCTGTTTTCTGGTTTCACTGGCCTTCTGCTTTATCTTCCACTGTGCTTTATTCTGCCAGCTCTGACTACCAGCCTGTCCTGAGATCTTCTCTGCTTTATTGTTTGATATTGTGTTCTTGTCTTGCCCTACTATCATCTGTCATTATCCAAGAAATCCTGAGGGTCACACTCAAATACTTTCCACAGTGCATCATCTGTACAATCAGAAGCAATGGAGTAGATCACACACTATTAGAGCCTGAATCTTAGATGATGTCCGGGAATAAAAAAAACATCTGTACTCACCAAGGTGGATGCAGCATAGGTCCAGCTCTAATATTAAGATCTGGACAATCAAAGATCGCGCAGTTCTCAGTCTTCGCTGAGCAGAGAGCCAGTGACTATTAATTACTCACTGCTCTGCCCCTCCAGTGCTCCCTGGAGCGCCGGGCTGTGGAGAGGGCCTGAGCAGCTGCCTTAAGCTCTCAGCGGCATGCTGAGAGGCTGCGCCAGTTGCCGGTCCAGGTATCTGGGTGGATCCTGGCATTAAAGTTGGGATCTCTCCAGAGTCTAGACTGGCTCTGTGACGTCAGCCGACAGCACACTTTAGCCCACTGTAATTTTTAGCAAAACAAAGAGCACACCTTAGGAGAGGTAGGGCAAAAAGATCTTTGGTCCTAATTCACCTTTAATTTCAAAGGTCACTGTTGACTACCTTCTGAAATATCTGAAGACTTACAAAGCTGGGGCCTGGGAAGCTCCACAGACCTGTGACAGGTATCATCAGAAAGGAGATCAGTGGAGAGAGAGAAGGCTGAACCCGGGGCTGGAAGGACATGTCCAGAGAGGACAACTAGCAGGTAGTTGATACCTGTCACAAGTTTCTCCTCCTTTTCATCCTCATGTACTTTTCTGCAACCAGTGGAACTACTGTGCTTTGGGTGATGGCACCTTCTGTGCTCTCTCTGTTCTGAGCTCAAACTCTTTGCTGTTTCTAATGAATCACTTTTCTGTTTCCATCTTCAGCACATTTATTTAGTGACTTTACACTGGGCTCGTGTCTGTTTTTGGATTTGTCTCTTAATCTGCTTTCCTGTGCTGCAGGCTATTCTGCAGTATCACCCTTGTACTTTTTCCTATACACATAACATATTCATCATGTTTTCCTTTTCCAGCCCTTACTCAGCTTTGGTGGTAATCTTGCCTAGCATAGGGTTGCCACCTTTTCTTCAAGCCAAACCTGAACACTTTAGCAGCACGCATCTTTTGTTTTGTAGTATACAAAATAAATGGAAATAAATAGTGCAAATAGATGTAACACCTGTATAACCTTTTAAAAATTGTGTAGTTACCATACATTTTGCCGCTGGTGAATCAGCCCAAGAGCAAGTTGTGTGGTTGTGCCATTAATGGCAACATTGAACACCTGCAAAAGGGTTGTGTGTTTTTGTGCATTGCCAGAATGCACTTAATTTGCACACATTCCTGCAATACACAAATGTCTACCTAGGGAAGGGGTAATGAATTAAAATTCAAGAGGTCTGGTTGCTAAACTTTTCTTGCAGCTGAGGTCCGAATTGCTCTCTAATAAAACATAAAAGTAGCCCAATCACATCCATATTTAAAAAAAGAAAGAAAGAAATAAAACCACCTTACATAAGGCTGTCCCGTCAGAGTGCTCCCTTAGATTAGTTGCCCCATCAGATTACCCCTTACATCTGGTGTCCACATCAGAATATCTCCTTAGATCAGTTGCCCCCATCAGCATGTCCCCTTATATCAGGTGTCCACTTCAGAGTATTCCCTTTAAATCATTTGCCCAAATCAGAGTGTCCCCTTATATCAAGTGTCTTCATCAGAGTACACCCTTAGATCAATTGCCCCCATCAGAGTGAACCCTTACATCAGGTGTCCCTATCAGAGTACTCCCTCTGATCAGTTGTCCCCATTACAGTGCCCCTTAAAATCTGATGTCCACATCAGTGAACCCAAGCAACTTCATTTCCTAATTGTCTACACAATACCCCTTCATGAAACAGGTCTCCTTAAGTAGATGTTAACATGACCCTGTCAGTACATGCTTGAATGTAAAAAAAAAAAGCAAGCTGTCAAAG